CGGGAAGCCTGCTTCTCCCTCTCCCACTCCCCCTGCTTGTGTTCCCTCTCTCGCTGTGTCTCTCTTTGTCAAATAAATACAATCTTTAAAAAAAAAAGAGTACACTTATCATGATGAGCACTGAGTCATGTATGGAAGTGTTGAATCACCATATTGTACTTGAAACTAATATAACACTGTGTGTGAATTACACTGGAATTAAAATTAAAAACTTAAAAAAAAAAAAAAGGTGAGTCCATTCTCAGTTACCTCACAAATGTAGCCAAAGCTCCGTGTGTGCGCCTGCGCGCACCTGCGCTCACTTGCTTGCGCGTGCATGATAGAGCATGGCTTCCAGGGGAACTAACGCCCAGGTTCATCTGGCACTAAGAAGTTGCCTGTGATGCAGGACTGTCCTGGCAAACTGGGATGGTTGGTTACCCTTTGGGACCCTCACCCTTGGGAATTCCCTCAAGTTGGGCAACCCTGGACTGTCATTACATGAAGGACTGAAATTCTTGGTGTTTCCCCTTTCTCTTCCCCTGAGATTCCCATGCCTCATGCTGACGCTTATGTTTAAAGGGCCATGTCACAGTGAGAGGGAGTCCTCCTGTACAAAGTATGCATCTAATGAGGAGGTTGTAGGGGCAGCTCCTCAGACATCTTGGTTGACTTAGAAGGTTCTTTCTTTTCTCCTCACCCGACCCTCCCATAGGTGCTGCCTGACTACTACTCATTTTTTCTTACTCTGCATTGTTCTGTTCTCTTTTTCCTAACTATCCTACACACCTTCAGAACACTGTTTCTCTGATCTTTGGGTCCCTGAATACAAGATTCCTTTCCTATCCCCCCTGGTCTACTTCTGAGCTTCTAGTGGTTGTTGTTATTTGAAGATTTTATTTGTTTGTTTGTTTGTTTATTTATTTATTTATATATAGAGAGAGCACTTGCAGATGAGTGGGGAGAGGGGCAGAGAGAGACGGTGAGAGGGAGTCTCAAGCAGACTCCACACTGAGCATGGAGCCCGATGCAGGGCTCAATCCCATGACCCTGAGATCATGACCCTGAGCCAAAATCAAGAGTCAGATGCTTAACTTGACTGAGCCACCCAGGCCCCTGTGGTTGTTTTTTTAAATTGCCTTTCTCCCTCCTGATTATAAAAGTATATAAATTTGTTGTAAAATGTTTAGAGAGTACAGAAAAGAATTAACATTTTATTGTACTGCATTCTTACCAGTATTTTTTCTATGAATGTTTTTATATAGTTCAGAACAGACTGTGTAATTTTACATTTCGATCTTTTTTAAACTTAACATTGAAACATAAACATTGTATTAAAATGCTAAAAACATTTTCCTATGACAGTCACATAAGCAAGATGACAGACTAGGAAGCCACAGGCTCTCCTCCCCCTACAGAGACACAGAGTTAACCCCATGTATGGGCCAGGATATCTCTGTGAGAACTGTAGAGACCAGATGAAAGCTGTAACACCCAAGCCCTTGTAAAACCAAGAAAGGATTCTAGCAAGAGGGGGGATGCTAGAATATATAAAGAACTCCTATAACTCAACAACAAATGGCAAAGGACTGGAATAGACATCTTTCTAAAGACGATATACAAATGGTCAATAATCATATAAAAAGATGCTCAAATCATTACTCATCATAGAAATGCAAATCAAAACCACATGAGATATCACCTTATACCCATTAGAATGCTACTATCAAAAATATACACAATAACAAGTGTTGCTGAGGATGTGGCGAAATTGTAACCCTTGTTCCAATTGGTAAGATTGTAAAATCGTACTACTATGGAAACAGCATTGACGGTCCCCAAAAGATTAAAAATAGAACCACCATACAATCTAGCAATCCTACTTCTGGGTATATAGCCGAACGAGTTGAAAGCAGGGTCTCAGAGATATTTGTACACCTATGTTCACAACAGCACTATTCACAATAGCAAAGGGTAGAAGCAACCCAAATATCCACTGACAGATGAATGAATAAGCAAACTGTGGTATATACACAAAATGGAATTTTATTCAGCTTTAAGAAGGAAGAAAATCCTGTCACATGCCACACCATGGATGAACTTTGAGGATATTACACTAAGTAAAATAAGCCTGTCACAAAAAAAGACAACAATTATATGATTCTGCTTATATGAGATTTCTAAAGGAGTCAAATTCATAGAAACAGAAAATATCATGGTGCTTACCAGAGCCTGCGGAGGGGAGGGGAAAGGGAAATGCTATTTAATGGGTATAGAATTTCAGATCTGCAGATGTTCTGAAGCTGTTTCACAACAATGTGAATATAACACCACTGAACTATACACTTAAAAATGGTTGATGGTATAGGGGCACCTGGGTGGCTCAGTCAGTTGGGTGTCTGACTCTTGACTTCAGCTCAGGTCATGATCTTGGGGTTGTGGGATCGAGCCCCAAGTCTGGCTCCACGGTGGGTGTGGAGCCTGCTGGGGATTCTCGCTCTCCCTCTGCCCCCCCCCCCACTTTTAAACAAAAAAAAAAGGTTGATGGTGAATTTTATGTTATGCGTATTTTTTACCAGTTTAAAAAAAAAAACAAAACTTTTTCCTAGATATAATGTTCATGGATTATATCCTATTTTGTCGTATGATGTACCTTAGTTGGCTTATCCATTCTCTTACTAGTCATTTAGAGCAGCGGTCAGCAAACTTTGTCTTAAAGGACCAGTTAGTAAATAGTCTAGGCTTTGCTGGCCATAGTCTCTGCTGTTACAGCATGAAAGGAAATATGAACAACGTGTACATGGGTGTGGCTGTGCCAGGGCAACTTTCCTTACCGAAACAGGAGGGCTCAATTTCATCCATCGGCCATAGTGGCTGAGCCCTGGTTTAGACTGTTCCTAATATTTAGTATCACAAATAATGCTGCTAATAAACATCTTTCTAAAGACATCCTTATAGATATGTTAGCTTCTCTCCTAGGAAGCAATCCTACAAATTAAGTTAATGGGAAAAAAGTCTGGCCATTGCTAAGGTCCTTGATCTGTACTGCACAGGTTGAAGCAGCTCTCTGCATAGCGACCTGACTCTCATTCAGCAACATCCTGGGCTCTGCCCAAGGGAATGCCTGGAACTAACGTTTCTTTAGTTCTAAGCACATGCCAACAAGTTCAGCATCCCTGAGTTGCCTCCGTTCTTCCAGATCCTTCAGCCCCTTTGCACTTGGCAATCATCCCAATCTCTTTCCTCCTCAAATGGTCCCTCCATCTATGGGCTGCCTTTTCCTTCCCAACCCCACTGGTTAAAGATGGCAGATTAAGTGCATGCCCTTATTTCAGCTCCTTCTGGAAAGCCCACTAAAATAACAGCAAAAGGATTTTTTTTACAGGATAAAGTCAATAAAGACATGACAAACTGTGGGGGACTTGAAAGCAGAAGGATGAATAGCAGCCCACCTAGAAGACTTGAGAAGCTGAATCTTAAGCCAGTACTGATGAAAGACAAGAAGCAACTCAGTTTGCATTGAGAACTCCCAAAGGTTTTATGCCTCAGGATTTGGCAGTACCAGCTATTTCTAGAAGTGTCGGTATAGACAGGTTTGAAAATCAAAGGACTGGCTGAGAGGTCTTAAGGAGCAGATACACCCCCCAAGCCCCGTCCCCATGTCCACATGCCAGACAAGTGTATGATCCCCACCCCAGAACAAGACTAGAGGCTAAACACAAAATGTCTCTGGATAAGGAGACACGGGGCAAAATTGAGGATGGAGTACTATATTGTAAATGGCACTCCACTAAAACTTCCCCAGTAAACTAAGTGAAAGCTTACATACCAAATGTTGAGATTCTCCCCACTGGCTGGGCTCCCAGATCACGGGTAGCTAGGATGGTATCCACCTGGCAGGGGCTGGAAGAGTATTTTCTGGAGAGACCTAAAGATAGCAAACTATAGGTTATACAAAGCAACAGCCTAGTCAGATCACCACGTGGGGAAGCCCACATTGACAACTCCCTCTCATGCTCAGAGCTTCTTCCTAGCAGCTTTTAAGCTCCCCATTTTAAAACATAAATGGAAAACCAAGGATCACCACACATCTGAGAAAAGCCCCTAAAGATAGAGACCAAAACAGGAAAGGAAAACAAGAGAGAAAACAGTGTGATGGTTAATTTATTTTTATTTTTTAAAAAGATTTTATTTATTTATTTTAAAGAGAGTGGGGGTAAGAGGGGCAGAGGGAGAGGGAGAGAGAGTCTTAAGCAGACTTCTCGCTAAGTGCAGAGCCTGATAATGGGGCTTGATCTCACGACCCTGAGATCAGGACCTGAACTGAAACCAAGAGTTTGACGCTTAACTGCTTGTACCACCCAGGCATCCATCATTTCAGTTTGACTGGACCTCAGAGTACCCAGATATCTGCTTAAACACTATTTCTGGGTGTGTCTGTGAGGGCGTTTCTGGATGAGATTACTATTTGAATCAGTAGACTGAGTCAAGCAGGTTGGCCTCCCTGATGTGGGTGGGCCTCATCCAGTTTGTTGAAGGCCTGAATAGAATAAAAGGCTGAGTAAGATGAATTCTTTCTCTCTGCCTGACTGTCTTGACCTGGGACGCTGGTCTTGTCCTGCTTTCGGGCTCAGACTGGAACTTCAACCACTGACAATCCTGCCTCTTAGGCCTTCAGGCTGGGACTGGAACCACACCATTTGCTCTTTTGCGCCTCCAGCTTGCCAACTGCAGATCTTAGACTTCTTAGCCTTCATGACTGTGTGGGCCAATTCCTTATAGTAGTTCTGTCTCTCATAGTTGAGACTTGAACAACGCAGGTTTGAACTGCACGGGTCCGTTTATACGCAGATTTTTTAAGGCACGGTACTGTAAATATATTTTCTCTTATGATTTTCTTAACATTTTCTTTTCTCTAGCTTACTTTATCATATAGTATAGAATATATTTTCGGAAAATAGTATAGAACATACAAAATATGTGTTAATCCGCTGTTCATTATCAGTAAGACCATCAGTAGGTTATTAGTACTTAAGTTTTGGGGGAGTCAAAAGTTATTGTAGATTTTTGACTGCACAAGGGATTGGTTCCCCTAACCCCTGTGTTGTTCAAGATATATACTGTATGTATATATTTCTATCTCTATCTATCTCTATATAATTGGGTCTCTTTTTCTGGAGAGCCCAGACCAATTCATGGAGACTACGCGGGGAGGTGAAAACCTAAATCACAGCTCTAAGGAGAAAAATTAGAATTCAATTTTATTTTTCCTAATGAGAGAAACTAAATATTAAAGAATATGATTTTGTCAGATAGAGTTGAGTTTTGAAGGGCTACAAATCATTGTAATATCTAGGTTTTTTTGCCAACCCCTAAAGAACCAATTTTTGTGCCTCTGGGGGACAGTAGTGCCCCCGTGGAGAATGTACGCCTTAGACAGAGAGAAGACACTGCATCTAGGAAGCAAGGCCAAGTTGCTCTTTTTAAAATGAACATTGAAAGAATAAAAAAGCGTTCTTGGAATTTAAAAATATGAAAGCAAAAATTAACAACTCAGTGGAGGATTCTGACTGAATCAAATCTCCCAGAAAGCAAAACATGAAATAAGAGAGATGGTGGGAAAAGAGAGAACAGGTTGTAAAATTATAGTATTGGTTCAGAAAGTTCAATGTTTTAATAACAAGAGTTCCAGAAAGAGAACGTGTGTGTGTGTGTGTGTGCGTGCGTGTGTTGGTAGTGGTGAGGAGTCATTATAAATAAATAATTTGAGTAAATTTCCCCAAACTGAGGGTTCTGCCTCTCCAAATTCCAACAGATGAAAATCCTGCAATCTGAGGCACCTCACCACGACTCCAGAGCACTGGGAACAAAAAGAATACCCTAGGACACCCATTCTCTCTCTTGGGGGGTGTCCTCTAGCTCCTGGTGGGTAAGAATCTTAAAGGTTGAAATGGCATTTCTAGCAGATTTGTCACAAGGATTTTGGTTAACTTGTGAGTTTTGGAAAGGAGTTCTGAGGATGCTAGATTACATTTTTTTTTTCCTTAATGTAAAAGCAGTATATGCTCATTACAGAAAACATGAAAGTTTCAGAGATGTATAAAGAACAAAAAGTATCAGCTATAATTGAACAACTGTGAACTAAGTATTTTAACCATTTTAAATTGGTTCCTTCCTAGGTGTTTTTTTTTTTTAATATATCTACCTATCCTTTTATAATATTTATTATTAAACATAATTGGAACCATTCTTCTCTACATTTTTATATTCCTGCTTACTTATATTATAGAATGAGCATTTTCTAATTATTGTTTTAATGACTGTACAATATTTAATTTATGGTATAATTTATATAACCAATCTCCTATTTTTAGATATTTAAGCTGTTGTCACCTTTACACTGCTCTAAATAGCATTTTCATGAAAATGTTTGTATAAGTATTTCCTAATTATTCTATTTTTCTTTAAATTGGATTCCCAAACATGGGATTACTGGATCAAAGATTATGTATAGATTTATGAAATTTACTACACGATACTTGTGTTCTAGGCTTGCATTGTTCAATATTGTAGCCACTAGCCACGTGACTACAGTTGTATTTATATGTAATTTTAAAATTGGTTCCTCTGTCGCACTGGCCACTAGCCTTAGTCCTTAGTAATCACTTGTGGCTAGTGGTTACCATGTTGGAGAATGCAGACAGAGATTATTTCCATCATTTCAGAAAGTTCTAGTGGACAGTGCTGTTTTAGAGAAGCCATACTTTTAATATCTCCATAATTGATCTCTCCATCCTTTTACCAGCATTAAGTATTACCACTTTTTAAGTTTTATGCATTTGATAGGTAAAGAAGAGAGTCTCAATTGAATAACTGTTTCTAACTAGAGCTGACCATTTTGTTAGAAGTTGTATTTCCTCTAGGAATGATCTCATTTTGCTAGTCATGGTATTTTTCTAGATGTGCTTGGTAAGTTACTGTAAGTAAGAGCTCTGCATCACATTCTCATCTCCATGGCTATGCCCTACCTACACCAGGGCATATGACGTCTCTACTGAAAACTGTGGAAATATCCTTTCCAAGTGATGGTGACAGTTGCCACCCTCAGGTTTTCCATTGCTTCTCTTCCTCTTTTTCTTTCCTCTGGTGTTCAGAGTGTTTGTGCTTGTTTTCCTTAGCTGTCACACTTTGGCTTAGTGAAGATACGGTTGGGCTGCTTCCCTACCCACACTGTCCTCCCTCCCTATCCCTGTACTCCAGCCAGAGCAATCCCACAGTACCCTGCTTCCAGTGGGTACTTAGCAAATACTATCTAATGAAATGTCACACACGTGAGGGCAGAAAAGTGAAAAGTAACTAATTTTATTTTTAATGGAATATTTGGTTTCAGAGGCAGAGCCTATTTAAGTTTATATTAAATATCGGCTCCCCAACAGCAAACATGATCCCGCTTCACTCTCTTGGTGCACATGATTTATTTCACAATTTCCCTTCCTTGCTTGACTACTGTGAAATAGGAAACCAAATGCTGTCAAAGATAACTATGAATAATAGTGTGAGGCAAACAAGTATCCAGGCTGCAGTCCCTTCTTTTGCTTTGCCTTAATCCCTAGCAACAGTAAAAATGAATCCACAGAACCATTCAGGGATGAGAGGGGTGGGGGGGTGGGTGCCTTGCAGACACGTTCAGAGCCTACTGCCTAAAATGTTGCCCAAATTCAGCTGAAAGCAAACTACCTTCAGTAGGTAAAGTAGACTGAATGCTGGATAAAAGAATCCTTACTTCTTATTTCCACAGCGAGGCCAAAATTGATCTTACGAGATAAAGCTGACCTAGAAAACACATTTGTAAGCATTTTCCTTCCTTTTCAACAACAATAAAAACGGACATGCTAGAACCACGATTAAAATGAGAACAAAGGCCAATGGGATTATTGAGTATCTAGCGCCACCTTGCGGCAGCACATCCAAATCCCAGGCCCTTTGGAGGACCCCAAGATTAAAAGCCTTCCGGAAGAAGAATTAGGATTTAATAATGGGAGAGACCATTTTCATGGGGAATACAAACTAATAGAAATAACTAGCACTTGGCTGGCACTTTTTAGTAAACAAAGCACTCCCAATTCTATGATCTCATTTAGCACGGGCAGCAACCCTGTAGGTCACAGGGGCTCAGCCTTAGAGATGGGAAAGCTGAGGCTCCGGAAAGCTGGTGACTTGTCGGGGGTATAGTCCTGCACTTGAACCCAGATTTCCAAACTCCAAATCACGTGATACAACTTTATTAGCATTTCTGTATGTAGTACATACCAAAAACTCAAAAGAAATACCTTGTACTATATGGTATAGGATACATATTGTATAGTATGTATGCTAGACATAGTATATATACCATACTATATAATATTATGGTACTTATACTATTCTCTATAATACTGTTAACTAGTACTCACTGCCTTTCTGGAGCTGCTTTCTGTGAAGACAAGGCAATATTGGTGGACTGTTCGTAGTCTATGATTTAACACATGTTCAAGTTTTGCTACTAAAACTGTGGCTTTGCTTCCCTGGGTCCCTGGGCACCCAACCCGTGGAAATCCCTGCTGCTCTGTCTTAACCTGGGGTGCAATAAGAGGTTTGCCTGGGGAGAATCAACAGGGGGACCCAGAGGCAGTGGGACTGAAGCCTTGTTTTTATTATGCTTAGCCTTATTTTTATGGTTTCTTAATCCAATCCATTGGCTCAAGGCTAAAACTCTGAAGGACTACGTCACATCATTTAAGTAGACCTTACAACCAACATATTTTAAAGTGGGTCACTGAGAGGTTACCTTGCTCAATGTCAATGTCCAAGGTGGGTAGTATGTCATTACGCCAACCTTAAATATTCCAAGTGAAAACTCTGCGGTCCTTCCTTTATGGGGTCGGACTGTCCTTTACAGGGACAGTCCATCCACTGTATTCCTGGAGAAACTGCATCGGGTAGATGGGGAGGACAGGTGATGGCGTTCCCCTCTCTCCCCGGGGGCAGTGTGGCCAGGTCCTGGCTCAATTAGAGAGGGTCTCAGGAATTAGGCAGGGCGCCATGGTGGGTTCTTGAGTCCTAGCAAAAGCTGTATGTGTGACACTGGTCCTGAAGAGGCACATAAATGAACGGAAGCAGAGAGAAATGGGCAAATGAGAGACACTAGAAAGAGAACAATCCTTCAGGCTAAAAATACATCCGGATGTGTTATTTTAGTCTATTTGGCCTCATTTTTCCACAGGATTGCCTGACATGCTGCCTGGAGGCACATTTACTGAATCACGGCACATTTACCGATGGCAAGGATCTCTTTTAGTGCTTATGCTTTCCCCTTGGTGGAATTTTAGTCAGACAGCATGGCTACATTACATTATACTGTAAAACTTCACTTTTCAGCCCTTGCAATTTTATTTGCATTTCCATAAGACACACACAGACACTTGCTACTTTTTAATATAAAAATTATATGTCCTCATTATAAAAAAATATAAAAATATCCAAAATAAAGAGTGACTTTAAACTTTCCTCTTCAAGGGGAGGCACAAATGTCAACCTCGTGAAAGGTCAGGACTTGTGACCCAGAGTTGGGTTCTTAGGACACTTTCGGAATTTGCTCTGAAGGAAAACTCTTGGCACACACAGGCCTTCTTTTTTGTTCACCGTCTCACGAAACACATACTCATTCACCACTTCTTCATAACCTGTGTCCGTAAAGAGCCGAGCCAGGAATTCTGTAAGGCAAGCAGATCAACAATGCTCACGGTCTCGATGATACTACCACATTTGCTCTGCAGTGGTAAACAGGAGGGCAGGGGTGCTGGAAGGGATTTTTTTTTTAATGTAACAAAAATTCCGCTGCTAAAATTAATAGATTTTTGTTTTGGAAAGTAACACACTCCTACTTCTCTTCTTACTCCCAAATAAATAATTTAATTAGAAAAGTTTAAGGACAACTTGGAGTACGGCCACCTTACCCTCTTATTATAAGTCCCCAAATACAAAGTCCAAGTAAAAAGAAACACAATTCCAAACTGGCTATATTCATACAAAGTCTTCATGTGTTCAATGTGTTTACATCAAACACCTCATCTATCTGAACATGATGGAGGAACATCTGTGACCAGAGTGGGGAAACCCATTACTTCTGGGTGATATACCCTAAGGAAAATTTAACCCCAGTAATCCATCTCTACATGTTAAATGAAACAAACAGAATGGCTATGCGGTGAAAATACTCTTATTAGTAAGAGCATTACTCTGCAGAATGTGCTCCGAAGCACTCTGCAGACATCACTGCATCTTCTCAATTATTTACAATTGGTTGACTCAGATTTCATCAATCAGAAACATTAAAACAAATTTTTAATTTTCACCTGACATTTCTATGACTTCGCAGTTTTAATGCTAATCACTCATTTTTTATTTCATTCTAAACTCAAAAGAATATTTCAAGACATGGAAATGTTTGTGAAAATAGAGTTGAAGAAGATAATTATTTTATGGTCCAAATTACTAGGTAGGCTTAAAATTATTTTGGTATAAGACAGAAATAATGATCACTGTTTGGATGTTTTTATCAAAATGACTTTTGAAAGACGCTTTATAGCAAATTTGTGTACTTAACACCTTTACAGACAAAGGTTTCTTGCCTTTGTGACCTGGGAAGGTAATCTCCAGGCATTATGTAGTCCTACTTGTGTGTGTGTGTGTTTAAGTTTACTTTTTTTTTTTTTAAGTAATCTCTACATGCAACATGGGGCTTGAACTCATGACCCTGAGATCAAGAGTTGCATGCTCTTCCAACGGAGCCAGCCAGCTTGCCCCTGCCCTACTTGTTTTGTGACTGAAGTGACGATCCTGCTTTGCCCTCCCCCTTTTCCAGCACGGTTCCTGGTAGGGTATACATGTTGCATGCCAGAGCCTGTCCATTAACCCAGGCTCGCTAACAAGACACTGTCACCAGAGGAGGCTTGTGAGCTCAGCATGGTCAGAGCTGTATCCCTGTCGTCCCAGGTGCTGGGTGAGTGGTGTGCCCCGGAGATGGTTCCAGCCAGGACCTTGTGCATGTGCCCTCTGTGTTGCTGGCCCCACCCCCAACCAGTACCACAGTGATAATGCAAGCAAGTAAACAGAAATAAAAGCAAATTTCATTAACCTTACCATCAGTAAAAAAATATGATCTGGTTCCATCTTGTCTAGCGTAAAAGTTTTCTCCAAGTTTGCTGCCAGCTTTAAACCTAAGCATGGCATGATCATACAGCCCATAGTCACGAAACAAGACGCTTTTGCCTGGTTTTAATACCTATGAAACAAAAGCAGCTGGCACTTATATTGACGGCTCAAATAAAACTTACTCAAAATAAAATCTGATTGATTTAAGGGTCAAAATAACTTACATTAGTGGTAAGTATGAAAAGAACGACTGAACCACCCAGAGTTTGAAGGAAAAAGGGCCTCCTGATCAAAGGTATAGCAACACCTGCAGGACCCCATACATTGGAGGGATATTTCTCGAGCACTTACAAGGTCCAGTGTCATACAGTTAAAATGCTACTGACACTAAATGAAACAGTCTTATTTTCTTTAAAGCATGTTCTCCCAACATTTTATTAACCATCTCCTAGTATATGACCCGGCAGTCAAACTGTCTCTTTAAAAAAAAAAAAAAATGTCATTTTGTCTTCTTACTGATTCCGGCTGGCCTTCCTCATTCTGAGTCTCAGCGCAGGGTTCACTGTGCTACAATTCTGCATAGCTTGCCCACCACGCTAGTAACAGCTGATAGCACGTTGCAGTTTCTCAGACAGGAGGGAGGAAGGAGTGATTATTAGCCTCATGTGAGATGAGGAAACTGACACTACGTAAGGGATTTGTCCACGATTCATACACTGGCCACCAAGTGGGGGGGTCAAGACTCATATTTGGGTCAAAAGGCAGCAAGCATATTGTAGAATCAGAGACACCTGTTCGCCCTGGACCTGGATGGGGGAAGGGGGAGGTGTTATTCTAATTCTATTCACATTACTGACAAGAAAGAGAGGCTACGGGGGGTGGGGGGTGGTAACTGAGTATTCTTCCCTTGCGCTGTGCTTCTTAGTAGAAGATCCTCAGGCCAGGGCAGTGGTGTAGGGAAGAGGATCAGCGGCAGGCCCAGCTGGGAGTCCCTCACTACAGCCTTTCAGAGGTAGGTGTCACAGGTTAGGTGTCTCAAAAACTGGGAGGTGGCATCAGCAGGGTGTGGGTATAACCAGCTCTATCTTACAAAGCAAACAGCATATGCTTTTCAGAATAAAAAGAAAGTGGCACACACTGTGACATTTGCTTTTTATATGAGAATTCTTTCAAACTGCATTAACACTACCAAATAAGAGGGGACTTAACAGAACCTTATTCTGATTCATCAACATCAGTAAGATGATTTTTAAGACATGACATATACTATTACAATAGATTTTTGACGCAGTTTGACATACTTCCTCTTCTGAATAGAGTATGAAAGATCATCCCTAATACTTCCAAGTGTGCTGCAGATTTTCTCATTTAGTAAATTCTATCAATACAAGCATGCATTTTAAATATTGTCCGTAAAGAGCCTCTTGGATGAATACATCGTACCTTAGCATAGTCTGAAATGCTAAGTTTTAAAAAATGTGAATAATTGCCAAGAAAATTCTGAAAAATTTAATTTATATGAAAAAGACTTATTCTTAATTATAGAAGGAAGGGCTACATGGGGACAGCAGAAAGAACACTCACTCAGGAATTTGGAAATCTTGATTCATATCCCAGTTCTTCCATAACTAGTTGAATGACCTTGAACAAGTAATTTCATCCCTGTGTTTTCTCGTCTGTAAAATAGTAAGTTTGATACTAATGCCTCCTTTGATCCTGACACTGTATAGCTAACCAGGCATTTCTCACCGTTATTTTCTTTCATTCTCCAAACAACTCTGAAAAGTAGGGTAGGGTAGGTCTATTATACCCATTTTACAGCAAGTGAGGCTCAGAGTAAAAGTGACTTGCCTGAGGTTTCAAGGCAAGTTGGTGGCATTGGTAGACAAATAGCCAGGTCGTCTGATGACAAATTTGTCTATTTTTACTTGATTATTCTACTCCAAAAATGAGGGAATTCAACTTTAAGGTTGTCTTTCAGTTTAAACTTATGTAGCTTAAAAAATTCTCTGCTGTTAACATTCTACAGTAATTATATCTACCTCACAACAGCTTATTACTGTGGTTGTTCACATAAGGCTTCGAGCTGCCCAAAGGGTGTCTTATTATTGTCAGAGGCTGAGAAATCACTTCTCCTTCTGGTAATTTCCTGATGAAGCACATGATTTCAAATCAACGAGCCAGTCACTATGTATGAGGCAGAGAGCCAGCAATCCACTACTGCTGTGAACTCATTCCAGATCAGCAGAAAAAGATTTCTATTAGGGGGTAAAAACAGAAAGGATTGCTAAAATGGGATCTGTTACTCAAGAAAGGTTAGAACGGGGGCTGGGGGCCAAGTGTGGACTGAGACAGCTCAACTCAATTAAAACAATACATATAACATTTCATTACTATTAAAATACAGATAGTATAGTGTATATTTCCATTTAAATCAAGAACAGGCATATCCTCATCAATACTTGGCTTTGTCAGACTTCTTAATTTTGGTAATCTAACAGTGTCTTACTGGGGTTTTATTTTACACTTCCTGGGTTATCTTTTCATATGTGTGTTCTCTTCAGTAAAACAACTATTGAAGTCTGCCATTCTTCTATTAATTTGCTTGTCTTTCTTACACAGGAATTCCTCACATATTCAGGTCTATAGACTTCAAATTACTTTCCCCAAGTTGTTTTTTAAATTCCTTTGTATTATATTGTCTTTTGAAGAACAGAAACTCCTACTTTTATTACAATCATGTTTATGCTTAGAATGCTTTGGGTCTTGAGAAAATTTTCCCCACTCGGAGGTCATAAGGATTCTTTCCTATATTTTCTTCTGAAAGGCTTAAACTTTTATCTTTTCCATTTAATTCTTTAATTCACCCAAGAATGATTTTTGTAGAGGATGTGAGGAGGATAATTTCACTCTCTCCTGCATGAAGACTCTGGTCCTAGCAGCACTCACTCAACAGTCCTGCTTTTCCCAGTGATCTTCATTGTCACCTCCATCATATAGCAGATTTCCATTTATGCATGGATAGATTTTTAAGCTATCACATTCAATTTGTCCCACAGAATAGCATTCTGTCTTAATTACTGCAGCAGTAAGTCCTTATATCTGGTAGGGTATAAATTTCTCCCATCTCATTCTTCTTCAGGAGTGTTCTGACCCTTTGTTCTTTCATGTAAACTTAGAATCAGCTTGTCAATTTCCTCAGGGACAAAACAAAACACCCTACCAAAAAGCCCTGACACAATTAAACAAAAAAATAAATGAAACGTATAATATTAAATGGAAAAGCAAAATTGCACAATGCATGTTACTCTTTTTTAGGTGTCTAGCTCAGTGACATTATATTACATTCATCTTATACTTTTTTAGTCTTTTAATATTTTCTAATTAGACAATTACATTATATGTAAATAATGAGTTTTGTCTCTCATCATTTTTTCCCCATCTTTTTTTTTTTCTTGTCTTTTTGAGCTGATTAGGACCTCCAGTGTAATGCTGAAAAGAAGTACTGACAGTAGGCACTCTCACTCCCATGAAGTTCTAGATACTCCTTATTCTGTCCCTGTCTCCTACTTCTCCCCAATCCCTGAAACCCTTCATCAGTGAAATCACTGGTATCCACCTCTTTAGAATGTTCCCTTCAGATTCTTGTGCTAACAGACTGTCCCCTGAGGACTCTATTTTCCCCAAAACCTCTCAAGTCAGGGCTGTGTTTTCTCCACTCACCCTTGTACCACTGGGCTTGGAGATGACGGTGGTGTCCTCCATGCTTCTCACCGCTACTTTCTCGTGTACTCTCTCTCCTCCCTAAACCCCCTGGCCCTGAATCGCTTGTCATCAGATTATATCATCTGCTATCCCTTAATGTTACTGTCATCTATTAGTTCCAGGGTCATATCCCTGTTTCATGATTGAATGTATCCTCTGGTTTATTCTCCTGTCCTCAATACTACTCCATTCTTAGTTCTGAGCAATTTCAATATACGCGGATTATCCTTCCAAATATGCTGGCCTCTTAATGACTTGAGCTTCTCTCTTCCTAGATCTTGTCCTCCACCCTTCTAGACCACTCACTCCCATGGTAATGTCCACAAGTCTTGTCAACAGCAAAAAGTATAACCCCTCCAGTCTCTCAATGTTACACAAGCCACGCTGGCCAACCCCAAAACCATCTTTCCAGCTCTCTCTCTAGTTCCCCATCTTTAATCATCCTTTGCCCTCACCTGGACCTTCAAATCAGGTGATCCTACCTTTTCTTCCCTGATGCCCTCTCCTCCCTCTTCACCCAGCTTCAGTTCCATGCCCATTTGTGGGGACATGCTGGGTTCTCATCTGCTCAGATACCATGGGCAGAGAAAGGGGAAGTAAGGAGGAAAAAAACCTTACAAAACCTCACAGAGAGCTGAAACCAACATAGCAATATCTGAATTTCATTTATTTTTTGACAGAGAGAAAGACAGCGAGAGAGGGAACACAAGCAGGGGGAGTGGGAGAGGGACAAGCAGGCTTCCCGCCGAGCAGGGAGCCCAATGCGGGGCTCGATCCCAGGACCCTGGGATCATGACCTGAGCTGAAGGCAGACGCTTAACGACTGAGCCACCCAGGTGCCCCACAATATCTGAATTTCTTAAAAAACATTTAAAACATCTACTTTTTCAACCTGCCGACCGCTCTTTTCTCCCTTTATAAAGCAGACTGACTGAAGCCCCCGACTCACCAAGCAGCTGAGGCTTACAGGCTTTCTAGGCTGTGTGCCCTTGTGCTTTAAGGGCCCCCAGGTGAGCTGCGCGCTTACCACGGGTCACCTGTGTTGGTTCCCAAACTTGCTTATGCCAGTTGTACTTAGATTTAGAGTTATATATGAGTACATAAACAATGCAATATGCAAAAATGAGCATTTTGGTTCCTATGAAAAGTACATTCAATACTTTTGGAAAGACTTGATAAAGCAGCACTGAACAAACTGTATCTAATTAGGTGTGGGAGAAGCAAGAAGTCTGGGTAAAAATATAAAAGAATCTGCCCTCACATTACTTTCCAATTGTTTTTAAGTCTTCGCTCCACTTTTAAGATATTTATTTATTTATTTATTTATTTGAGAGAGCGAGCGAGCATGCGCAGGGGGAGGGGCGGGGGAGAAGCAGACTCTCTGCTGAGCAGGGAGCCCAACTCGGGGCTCAATCCCAGGACCCAGGGATCACAACCTGAGGCAAAGGCAGACGCTTAACCAACTGAGCCACTCAGGCATCCTTCACTCTGCTTTTAAGAAACCAAAACTCTACTATGTGTGTGGTTTATATAAGAAAGATGATAAACAGCCCCCTACTCAAAGAAAAGGCTGTGGCTCTATATCAAAAGAGTAACAAACGAATATTAATATATTTTAAGTTATATAAAATGTTTAAGGTAAGAATGTACCTTTTTTTTACGATTTCTTGATTTAGTTGATCTTTAAATGAATCAACACTGTTGCCATAGATGTAAGAGAAATTCTACTGTAGTTTATAAGGCAGCTTCATTCATGATCTCACCTGCAACTCTGAGAGACACCCCCATTTTACAGCCAAGGAAACTAAAGCCCAAGGAAGAAGGTGAGGTGATTTGTCTTGAGTCACATGACTTCAGAGTGTCGCTTTACTTCCTGAGTGCTACAGCAGCCTCCTGATGGCCAGTTTGGGTTCTCCCCATTCTAGTAATAATGATGATAGTAACAACAATGGCTGACTTTTAAAGAGCACTTACCATGTTCTAGGCATTGTGCTAAGCATTTTATACATATTTCATATATTTCATGCAATCTAGTATCTCAATATTCTATAGGTAATGAAACTGAGGCTCAGGGAGGTAAAGGAACTTGTTTCAGCAGGGAAGCCAGGTTTTGTCTCTAGGCACTCTGACGCCAGGTGCTTCTTGACCACCGAACCATACCCTCCCCTCACTTTACAGCAGGGAATATCTGCATGTTATTCCATGCATAGAGCCCAGATCATTGTAAAATCATCCTTGCTCCAAGGTAGGCCAAGGTCTGAAGAGCAGTGATGGCTACCAGACAAATCAGAATTTAGGGTGAATGTTTGATGTAGGAGAACCCCTTTCCATACACTGACTACAGGGCCTACACCTAGTGGGAATGAGGAGACTCTGTGAATCTAGACATGAGCCTCACAGGGGAGGTAAGCAAAAAGATCAGGATGTCCAACCTCTTGGCTCCAAATCACTAACCTGGTAAATATTTTGTAAGACAAGGTGCATCTTATCAGGGTGAACAGCAGAGAGTACAAATACCAACATGACAACATCCACAGACTCTGGGGGCACATGTTCTAGAAGGTCATCTTTGGTTAGATCACACTGGAACACCTTGCATCTTTCTGTGTCATATAAAGGATTTTCCTAGAGAAGAGGGGAAAAAAAAAAAAGAATTTTAATGCAACATCCATGTTGACACACACAGAAAAATACAGCATCAAAAAGAGATCCAATGGAAAAAAATAAAAGGAGACCCTATTTCCACTTGTGCACTGCTGCACAAATATCAAAGATCACTTTATTACTGAGTAAAACTGAGTAATGCAGCATTTGTACCCTAAAGCTTGCAGTATTCAATATTGCTATGAGGAGCAAGATTTCATTTTAACAAATCATCTTTCACTGAAAAGAGAACACAAGCTATCACATATTCAAAGCTGAGCATTCTAGAAGTACATATTTCTAAAGGAATGATAAGTCAAAACTGACCTGGGCTTCCTTAATCCTCCTTTGAGTCACCCACTACAAGTCTAAATCCTCTGAGAAGTCCTTCCAAATCCACTCATGCAGATGCTCCCATAGTTCTTTGGGGCGTATTTTCCCTTGAGGCAGCAAGCTAAGTAAACCTAACTTTTCTTTTCTTTTTTTTTTTTGCCACAAGTGTTCCTGTACATGGTGGATGGTGGGTTTAAGAGCATTACAAGAAAAGGTAATATATAAGAGTATCATAAAGAAAGAGTATCATAAAGTATAAATCATTATAAGAGCATTATAAAAAATATTAATTTTTTCTGTAGTGTAAATAAGGACTCAAACACAGATACAAAGGTACTGGATGGGAAGATTCAATATTGAAATGATGTCAATTCCACCAATAATTCCACTTCTAAATCCAATGTGGTCTCAACAGAATCCCAATGGATTTCTAGAAACTTGACAAGGCAAATTTTAATTCACCTGGAAGCAAAAATCTTTAAGAAGAGCCAAGTCAATTTTTAAATTGAAGAACAATGAAGGAGGAGGTACACTACCAACATCAAAGCATATTACAAAATGTAGTACTAACACAATGAGATTTGGGGCACCTGGGAGGCTCAGTCGTTAAGCGTCTGCCTTCGGCTCAGGTCGTGATCCCAGGGTCCTGGGATCGAGCCCCGTGTCGGGCTCCCTGCTCGGCGGGAAGCCTGCTTCTCCCTCTCCCACTCCCCTGCTTGTGTTCCCTCTCTTGCTGTCTCTCTGTCAAATAAATAAATAATCTTAAAAATAAATAAATAAATAAATAAATAAAACAATGAGGTTTGAGAATGGGGACAAATAAATCACTGAGACAGAACAGAGTCCCCCAAACAGACCCCCTCTATATAGAGGAATTTAGTATTGCATATGACAAAAGACAGGTGACAAAGATGACAAATATAGCAAAAAATGTAGATAATAAAGGTGACAATTGTCAGGGAAGAAAAATGAATTTCTTATTCAATTTATTGTGTTTGAACAACTAGTTCTATACTTGTGTTAAAGGATGATTGGTTACCCATGAATCGGAGGTCTTCTGGTTTCAGTTCAAAGATGTACAGAGGTATAAAAATGTAGCTCCCATCCTTATAATAAAAACGATGGACAGAGAGCAAAGTAATGATTTTTTTGTGAACCTATCAAAGCACAGAGGCCAAAAAACCACCAGCTACCCCAAAATATGGAGACGGACAAGTGCCTTCCAGGAGAGACAGGACCTAAGCATCTGCTTACCTGAGGCAGAAGCCTCCAGACTGGAAAGACAAAACTAGAAATTTGACAAATTGCTGGAGACTGAGTACAGATGTTATAGTGTGAAGCCCCTGGGGGCTGAATTAATAGGGGTATTCCCATCCTTTTGTAGGTGTTTCCTCTAGGAACATCATGGGGCTCTCAGAGAGGATGGATGGTGTTTCACCTTGGTGCTGGCCTTTCTCATCTCCTTTAAGGAAGAAAAGATTTAAAATGCAGGGGAAAGGTCATCTGAGGCCTACAGACTTAGGGTACCGGTGGAATGCCACTGCCACTGGGGGAAGGAAACTACTCTGCTCAGACCTAGTTTTAATTTTTTTTTTTAAGCTTATTTATTTATTTTTTTTAGTACTCTCTACACCCAATGTGGGGCTCAAACTCACAACCCCAGGATCAGGAGATGTATGCTCTTCTGACTGAGCCAGCCAGGGGCCCCAAACCTAGTCTTAATCTGAAGAGAGAATGGCCGCAACACCAGAAAGGAAGACACCGGTACAAACCTCCTGAGGGAGGGAAGGGAGAGAAAAGCTCTAGTCCTGGAGCAGCAGACATACTTGTGAAGACCACACTCCTGAGACACGGGCCCACTATGCAGTCCAGAAACTGAGAATCAGAGCATTAGACAACAATCCCTTCTCCCACACCTTACCAACAAGTGTCCAGTGCTAATAACCACAGTGGACCGGGTGGGAAAGCTGCAAGAGCGATGGTACAAAGAGAAGACACAAAGTCAAAAGGGGAGACATGAGCCAAGTCACCAGAGGAGTCTGAAGTCTCTGGTGTCCATAACAACAACAAACCTCACAGATAACTATAGCAACAGGAGATTTCAAACACTGCTCAACTCCTGTCTAGATTATTACAAATCCTTATTACCTCGGTATCCACTGCCCTATATAACGTATCTGGCTTTCAGCAAAAAACTACAAGGCATACCAAAAGGCAAGAAAAAACAGTCTGAAGAGACAAAGTAATCATCAGAACCAGACTCAAATATGACATAGATAGAGGAACTAAAAGTTCGGGCATTTAAAATAACTGTGATTAATACGTTAAAGACTCTAATGAAAAAGACAAAATTCGGGGCGCCTGGGTGACTCAGTCGTTAAGCGTCTGCCTTCGGCTCAGGTCATGATCCCAGGGTCCTGGGATCGAGCCCCACATCGGGCTCCCTGCTCTGCGGGGAGCCTGCTTCTCCCTCACCCTCTGCTTGCCTCTCTGCCTACTTGTGCTCTCCCTCTCTCTCTCTTTGTCAAATAAATAAAATCTTTAAAAAAAAAAAAAGAAAAAGACAAAATTCAAGATCAGATAGGTAATTTCAGCAGAGAAACAGAAACTACAAAAAGAATCAACCACACATACTAAAAACCAGAAACATAGTAACAAAAATGAAGAATGCTTCTGAAAGGCTCATCAAAGCTTGCTGCTTAAGAAGGAATCTGTGAGCTTGATGATAATCAGGATGAAAGAAATAATACAAACTGAAAATGCAAAGAGAAAAAAAAAAGCTTAAAAAAAACCCCCCCAAAAGCCCCCAAACACCATCCAAGAGCCGTAGGACAATAGCAAGTAGTGTAACATATATGTAATAAGAATCTCAGAAGAAGAGAGAACAGAGCTGAAGAAATAATGGCCAAAATTTTTCCAGATTAATTAAAAAACATAATAACCAAAACTTAAAAAAATATATACATTTACAGAACTCCTAAACCAGACAGAAAACCTTAGAACCTTGAAAGGAAAAGATTAATAAATTTGCACATAATTTAGATTCTGTCAAAAGACAATACCACAAATGCTAACTAGAATGTCTGCAAAAAAACTAACAGAATATTCAGAATGCACTCTAAAGATAAGAAAATGACAGAAAAATGAGCGAAGGTTAGGAACAGACAAGTCATACTATCATGCAAATGCCACCTGAGGGTTCTTCTGTGTTCTGTTTACTCCTCAAGCCCAGTGCATACAACTGGCACATATGAGGCTCTCGATAAATGTATGTGGGATAAGGGAACTCACGATCTGAAGGAACACTAATGCTGATTTACGTACGGAAGGAATACACAAATTACAATATGGAGTATTACTTTTTGCCCGTCAGATTGGGAGATGTAAAAAAAGACTGATAGCAAATGGCGAGGGTGGGGGCACCTGAACTGCTCAGTCGTTTAAGCATCTGTCTTACAGCTCAGGTTATGATCTCAGGGTCCTGGGATTGAGCCCTACTCCCCGCCACCCCCCCCTTCTCAGTGGGGAGCCTGCTGCTTCTCCGCCTCCATGCCCCCCCACCTCCACTTGTGCCTGTACACTCTGTCAAATAAATAAAATTTAAAAAAAAGATGGTGAGGGCGTAGACAGAATGGTAGCTATATGTTAAAACTTATATATTAAATTTTAAAATATATATTTGAAATATTGAAACTTAAATGTGTATGCTTTCTCTCCAAGGAATTCTTCCATCACCACAGAGAAAAGTGTTCACACGTGTTTTGGGGAGCAGTGCATAATGCTTATGACATTAACCCTATTTGTAAGAGTGAAAAATTAGAAATGATTTAAACAAACATCAACAGGGTAATGGTTGAAGTATGGTATATCCATCCTATGGAATACTACAACAGATAGAATATGGTAGACCTACATGTACTAAGATAAACTCTACAAGATAAGATGTGGAGCGAAGAAAGCAAGTTATAGTACAATGTGATGCTACTATTAAAAAAACTTCTAGGGGAGCCTCGGTGGCTCAGTTGGTTGAGTGTCTGACTCTTGATTTTGGCTCAGGTCATGATCCTGGGGGGTCATGGGATTAGTAACACACCTGGCTCCATGCTCAGTGTGAAGTCAGCTTGTCCCTCTCCTTCCTCATCTGCCTCTGCCCTCACCCTCCCCTGCACACTTTCTTTCTCTCTAAAGTAAGTACATAAAGAAAATCTTTAAAAACAACAACAAAACTTCTAATGGATGCTAAAACTGTGAAAGGTTGATGGAAAATTAAGTATTTGCCGAAGTATCCCCCACATATTTGTTAATGGCAAAAGGTAAATATTTGTAACCCTTAGGAAGGCACCTTTTAGGTAGGAACTAGGTAGTTACTACCTTAACCCAGCGATCAAAACTAAAGCTAGCATCACTTATAGTGAGGTTAGCAGACATTAATGCCTCCGGACAGGATGTAATATCAAAGATACAACATCACCTATTATAGTTATTTTTGCCAAAAATATTTTACCTGATTTAAATCTAACTTCTAGTTTACAGGAAATACAGGGGATAAAGAAACAAGTTGAACAATGATACGAATAAACAATGAGACCAATTTGGAATGTGGGACCGCACTACAGCAAATGGCTTGCTCTTCAAAAACTCAATGCCAGTGGAGAAAAGGTCAAGGGGAAGGGCAGAAATGTTTTAGGCTACGGAGATTTAAGGTACATTAAGAAGTACAAGATGCAGTCCTGACACCTGGGACTATTTGAGTAAATCTGAATCTGTAGTGGGTATTAATGACATTAGGGGATTACAGTTACTTTTGTTAAATATAATAATAAGTGTACTGCACTCATACAGGAAAAACCCTTATTTTTTTGAATATGTAGGAAGACATATTTAGGAGAAAAGTGTCGTGACATCTATACTTTAAAATAGTTCAGCAGGAGCACCTAGGTGGCTCAGTCAGTTAGGTGTCCAACTCTTGATTTCAGCTCAGATCATGATCCAGGGTCATTGAGATCAAGCCCCTTGTAGTGCTCTGCACTCAGCACAGTCTGCTTAAGCTCTCTCTCCCTCTGCCCCTCCCCCACTGGTGTGGGCGTGTGCTCTCGCTCTCTCTAAATGAATAAATAAGTAAAATCTTTAAAATAGTTCAGCAAAGAAGTAAGTCTATAAAGCAAATGTGGTGAAATGCTGGCAATCAGTAAATCTGGGTATAAGTATCTAGGTGTCATTTTGGTAATTCTTTCTACTTTTCTGAATAAAGCTATGTTTTTGTGGATACTATATTTGTAAGAGGAAAGATTTATGCGATCTGAAGAGAAACCAGAGTGTATGGATACTATATTTGTATGTAAACAGGAAAGACACATTCATGGTGATCACAGCTGGTTAGCTTCAAAGAGAGGACAGGAATTAGGCAAATGGGTAGAGAGGGCAGGTCAGAGAAATCTAAGAAAATAGCAACACAACAGAATACATGGATGGAGCACCAACCTTGACATATTCAACTGCTCTTGGAGAAAAATCACAGGCATAGGCAAAGATATTCAGATCTTCTAAAAGTGGGAATAAACAGTTCCCAACACCGCAGCCAGCTTCAAGTATAGTCAATTTTTGATCTTCAAACTGAGGAAAGAGAACCCAAAATCATAGTATGCTACATTTGCATCACAGAGAAACAAAGCAAACTACATCTTAGAACACGAGAGACAAGGTCTCTGCCCCCAGGAAGCCGACAATAAACAAGTGAACTGATAACCTAAAGCTAATACTGACACCTCACTTGTCCAACATTGGGTAGTGTGGTATGGTGAAAACACAGCCAAAGAGCCAACAGAACAGGCTCTGGGACTAAACTGCTTGCACTCAAATCTCTCCCTTCACCCATGTTCTATCTCTGAACAAATCACTTAAACAGCTCTGTGCCTCACTTCTACCAGCAAGTGGGGATAATCATGATGCCTACCTCAACAGTGTTATTATAAGGCTTAAATTACAGAACACATTTAAAGTTCTAGAAAAGGGCCATGGTAAAGTGTTAATCATCCTTATTATGAAGCTGCATCTGTCACTGAAGTCACCCAGTATGAAATTAATATTTACGACTTTCAGACTGGCTTTAAGAAATAAAATGTCTACTAAAGCTCTCTTTCCTATGGATTATATAACCCAGGAACTAGCAAACTACTTAAAACCAGTGTATTTCTAAGGAACAAGGCATTCTGACAGACTTCGTAAATTTTCTACCTCACATTCCCCACAGGAATGCAATAAACACTCCTCTTCACATTTGAAATGAAAAACAACTCAAATAAGGTGCAATATTAGTTTACCTCTCTACATGATCTGAGCTCTTCAAACTCTCTGGTGGTCCAGTGTCTATCTTTGAAGAAGTTAGTACTATTCCTTTTGTAAAAAAGGTCCCAGTTCTTCTGAGCCTCTTTTTCCAGTTTTTGCTGCTTAAAATCAGACACCAAAGCTTGATCTCTTTTCAGTTTCTCCTCTTCTTCAGAGCTGAGAATCCTTGCCTGCAGCCCTTTCCTTTGCAAAGAAGCCATCTCCTAAATTGATGGTAATATATTTAACACTGCTGAAGATAATCCATCCCTGAATAACCTGAGGAATCCAAGCTGATACTGCAGACATAGGCAGGGTTTTTCAGATGTGGTTTCTCAGGCTGGATTCAAGCCTCAGACAGCATTGGACACTTTGCAGGAAAAAAGAGGAGATTCCGGTTAGTGGTTCTAAAACAGTTTTTTTTTTTTTTTTAAAGATTTTATTTATTTATTTGAGA